ATACTGGTATTATGATCATAAAATTATTTTTAATAATAGTCCTTTACAACAGTTTGAGATAAAAAATATTTTAAGTTTAAATATTTTACAAGGTATTAACTTTTCAATAACCAATATCGCATTATACTTGTCCTTATCTTGTATAATAGTATTAAGTTTATATATAGTTAGCAATAATTATAATAAACTTATATCTAATAGAGCTAGTGCTATACAAGAAACAATATATGCAACTTTACACAGTATAGTTATAAACCAAATAAATGAACATAAAGGTCAAATGTTTTTTCCATTTATGTTTACTTTATTTATATTTATATTAAGTAATAATTTAGTAGGTATGGTACCTTATAGTTTTGCTTCAACATCTCATTTTATTTTAACTTTCTCTTTAAGTTTTACTATAGTTATAGGAGCAACGGTATTGGGATTAATTATACATATGTCTAAGTTTTTTTCTTTACTAGTACCCTCAGGTTGTCCATTACCTCTGTTACCTTTATTAGTTTTAATAGAATTTATATCATATTTAGCTAGAAATATTTCTTTAGGACTAAGATTAGCTGCTAACATTTTATCAGGTCATATGCTACTTAATATTTTAAGTGGGTTTACTTATAATATAGCTAATTCAGGTATATTATACTGATTTGTAGCTATATTACCTTTAACTTTTATTATTGCATTTTCTGGATTAGAACTTGGTATAGCTTTTATACAAGCACAAGTGTTTGTAGTTCTATCTTGTTCATATATCAGAGATGGATTAAGTTTACATTAAGTTTTAAAATTAAGGGGATATTTTATCCTAATTCGTAATTTTGGGTGTTTTATATGCGTTATGTTCCATTGCCGTCGCAATCAGACGAGACAAATCTATTTTATATGCCAGATCTATTATTTTAATATTAATTTGTTGTGTAATTATTAGTTTTGATAATTATTATGCAGATTTTCTAAATAATGGTTTAGGTTATTACCATGGTTTATTTCATACCAGTACAATTACTCATAGTTTTCAAGTATTTATATTTATTATATCAATTGTAATATTACAATTAAATAGTTTTTATCCTAGAAAAATATGGGCAGAACAGTTCTCTAGTTTATATAAACTACTATTTTGCAAATTATTATATTTCAATAGCTTTATCTTAAATAAAATGTCTGAACAATTTAGAATTTTAGAATATCCTCTTATAATCATATTTGTTATTATTGGAGGTGTATTCCTAGTATCAAGTTCTGATTTAATGTCGGTATTTTTAGCTATAGAGTTACAAAGTTACGGTCTTTATATATTATGTAGTATATATAAAGAATCAGAAAAATCTACATCTGCAGGTTTAACTTACTTTTTATTAGGGGGATTAAGTTCGTGTTTTATTCTATTAGCCTCTGGTCTATTATATAGTAATTCTGGTAATACAGGTTTTGATGGTCTTTATGTAATAAATAGTATAGATAACTGTAATTATTCACAAATAAATAAGGAAAATTTTAGTTTATTTAATTTTTTTTATGAATCTTATTACATAAACTCTGCGTTAGTATTAATGTCTGTAGGATTTTTATTTAAAGTAACTGCAGCACCTTTTCACTTTTGAAGTCCAGATGTTTATGATGCTATTCCTACCATAGTTACTACTTTTGTAGCAATATTTGCAAAAATATCAATATTTATATTGATATTTGAACTAGTTTATTATACTAATAATGATTCTTTTTTTATAAAACAAACATATTCTAACGATACTTGAAAATACACTTTATTATTTAGTGCATTAATATCTTTTATTATTGGTTCTTTATTAGGATTAACTCAATTTAGAATAAAAAGACTATATGCTTATAGTACTATATCTCATGTAGGTTTTATACTTTTAGCATTAAGTATTAATAGTCTAGAATCTACACAGTCCTTTATATTTTATTTAATACAATACTCACTTTCTAATTTAAATGCCTTTATTATATTACTAGCTATAGGTTATTCTTTATATCTATATATAGATAAATCTTATTTATCGGCTAATGTAAATGATAATAAGAATTCTCCTATACAATTAATTACCCAACTTAAAGGATATTTTTATATAAATCCTGCTTTAGCCTTAAGTTTATCTATAACTATATTTTCTTTTGTTGGTGTTCCTCCTCTTATAGGATTTTTTGCCAAACAAATGGTTTTAAGTTCAGCATTAGATGATGGATATATATTTATATCTTTCGTAGCTATATTAACAAGTGTAATAAGTGCTTGTTATTACTTAGTATTAGTAAAACAAATATTTTTTTTTCATAGTGACTATATAATAAACCCTGAAATAAAAGACGCTGACATAAATTGTTGTATCGTCAATAACTCAAGGAATCTTAAAATAGAAGCACTATCAGTTAATAATAAGAATGTAACAGTTTCTAGTTATTTGTCTAACACAATATCTATTTTAACTTTAATAGTTTTATTATTTATATTAAATCCTCAAGAATGATTAAGTCAGGTAAATATTTTATCTTTTACCTATAATTTTTACTAAGTTTAATGTTATCTTCAGTTTTTGCGTTTTTCATCTTTATACCTATATTAGCCTTTATATTACTGACAGTAAATTTTATTTTTGCACCTCATAAACCTTATAAAGAAAAGAAAACCCCATTTGAATGTGGATATCATTCTTTTTCTCAAAGTAGAAATGAGTTTAGTATTATATTTTTTAGAGTGGCCATTGTATATCTAATTATTGATTTAGAAATAGTTAATATATTTCCATTGGCTGTGTCAAGTAATTTTATAGGTGTGTATGGAATAAGTGTAGCTATTATATTTGCTATTATAGTTACATTAGGATTCATATATGAATTAGGTAAAGGTGCTTTAAGCATAAATATATAGATAATTATAAATAATAAATGACAACAATGACAACAATGACAACAATACAAAATCTTAATTTATATAACAACGGTCTTGATTTATTTACTGGTAAATTAATATTATATTTAACAGACCCAACAGTAGCCTTAATTGCCCTTAGTATTAAATGTTTTTATGAAATTATGGTTACTTGTATTAACTTACAAGCTACAGGTATACATAATTATAATTTAAATGAGTGTTTGGCATATCTACCTAATCATGATTTAATAATTAATCACTTTTATAATAGTAGAACATTAGTATCATTACATAGTCACTATATGCAAACAGTATTGCCATATATTGATCAGTCAACATATATTAATAGTTATTTATTATCCCTTAAATCTCCTTCTGATTTTGTAGATTTGCCTTCTCCTTCGTCTTTACCTACTGTTCCCTCATCATCTCCACTTTCATCTATACCTTCGTCTTTACCTACTGTTCCGTCATCACCTCCATCTTCATCTATACCTTCAACTTTGCCTACTGTTCCGTCATCATCTTCACTTTCATCTATACCTTCGACTTCGGCTGCATGTTCACCTCCACCTCCACCTCTACCTTCATCTTCATCTTCTTTATATATATCTAAAATAATTAATTGCTTAATTTATCCTGTTAGTAACATATTACCATGATTAGATTATATTCCTTTTATGTCTTGGGATTGAATGGATGATTATATAATTAATTTACCTAGCCGTGTTAACCGTGCTATTCATTGAACGTATTCAAATGATTATATAACTAGTGAGGCTCGAAATCGAGTTGTTGCTAGACCTAATGTACCTGTAACATTAACCACATATTTAAATGAAGATGTTATGACTATAACGGGACAAGGTGGGAATGACCCACCTTATCAACTTATAATTGATAATTATAGAGCTAACCTTGTTCGTAATGATTGATTAGTTGGCTTAATGCCATTTATTATTGCTTCTTATTTAGTAATAAAATATTATAGAGGTATAAAAAGACATATAACAACATTACTTTATCATCCATGACGTTTTGTACGAGCTATACGAACATATCTTAATTACCATATACATTCTATATTACCTAATGTTCTAGTAATTATGAGAAACTTTTTAGCTACTTTAGATATACATGGATCATATTTTGCTTTGTCAGTAATGGTATACTTAAATTCATTTACAGATCTGGTCCTAAGACTTTTACATAAAGTAGTTAGACTTCAAATTTTACTTGATGAAAATAGAGTTAGAGGAGAAGTAAATATTATTAGAAATACTATAATAGAAATTAAAAATGACTTACTACATCAAATCAATAACTTTCCTTTATATCAAGATATACATAGATCACTTACAAATATAGGTATAGATATTGATATGAGAATTATTGAAGGTTTTGGTAGTTACAGTGAATTTTTTACTTACATAAATGATATCATAAATTAAATTGTTAATATATGGTCCAATCCATTTATAAATAAATGGAATGCTATTAAAGCTAATATATATAATAGTTTTAAAATTAAGTTTATATGGTATATTAAGATTAATATTACCTATATTGCCAAAAGCTTCAATAGATTATACATATATAGTATATTTAATAGGAGTAATAACTATAATATACGCCAGTATAAGTACGTTAAGAACAATAGATGTTAAAGAACTTATTGCTTATTCTTCTGTATCTCATGCTGCAGTTTATCTTTTAGGTGTATTTAGTAATACAATACAAGGAATAGAAGGAGGAATAACATTAGGATTAGCTCATGGTTTTGTATCTTCTGGACTATTTATATGTGCAGGTGGTGTATTATATGATAGATCCCATACAAGATTAATTACTTATTATAGAGGTATAGCTCAATTAATGCCTTTATTTTCTGTATTATTTTTTATATTGAGTTTAGGTAATTGTGGTGTACCACTAACATTAAATTTTGTAGGTGAGTTTTTATCATTATATGGTGTGTTCGAAAGACTACCTATAATGGGGATATTCGCCAGTACTTCTATAATATTAAGTGCTGCTTATACTATTTATATGTATAATAGAATATCTTTTGGAGGAACATTTACCAAATTTTTCTCTATAAGTATACCTGATGTTAACAAGCGAGAATTTTCTATGTTAATATTATTAGTAATATTTACTGTAATATTAGGAATATATCCTAGTCCCATATTGGATGGTATACATTATTCTGTATCTTGTTTAATTTATAATTCTTAATTATAATATTAAATAATGTAAATACTAAAAACAGTATAATTATATAATTATATAAATCATATAATTATAAAAAGGCCTAAAGGCCCAAAGGCCCAATGGTCAAACGGTAAAGACATGGTTTTTTCACAACCAAAATACGGGTTCGATCCCCGTTTGGGCTAACCAAAACGGCTATAGGTTAATGGTAGACCGTTCGTCTTCCAAACGAAGTATGTCGATTCGATTTCGACTAGCCGTAGAGATCTTGATTTAATTGGTAAAATATGTGACTTTTAATCATTAATATACAGGTTCGAACCCTGTAGGTCTTATAAGGAAAAGTTTCCATAGGTAAGGTAAGATATCTGCTAATTATCGTGTTTTTCACACTTGGATGTTCGAATCATCTCTTTTCCGATTTATATATAGATTCTTTAACTTAATTAGGTAAAGTGTGCTTTTGATAAGAGCAAATTTGGCGTTCAAATCGCTGAAGAATCATTTATTATATTAAGAGAATTGACTGAGTGGTTTAAAGTGGCAAGCTTGAAACTTGTTTGGTCTATTAGGCCACATCCGTTCGAATCGGATATTCTCTGGGCCAGTCATATGGGATGACTGGTGTATTTAAAGATAAAAAACAAGGTAGCGCCTGATGGTTAGGCGTCTCGTTTGGGTCGGGAAACTTCTCAGTTCAA